TCGAGTAATGGGTAACCCTTTCGAACTGATCCGAACGCACGCGAACCGCTCCCACAGTGAAAACGGCGGCAAATACGAATTCCTTGACACAAGGTTTACTGTAATTTTGTCCGAATTGATCCCGCCAGCAGCAGTTTTTCTCGGGACGCGCACTCGCAAGGGGGAGTCAATCTTAAGCCCATCACTCGTCGAAAACGCATACATTTCGAGCCCGACTAAGTCGCACGGATAAGTGTACCTCGGCGGCGGAGTAAACGGGTTACTGTAGTTGGGATAATTAAAATAAATTATCACCACCAGCGGCAGAGACGTGGGAATTGAAAGCCCTGGAGGGAGGGAGAACTCTTGGAATTCCAACCCTCGTGCTACAACCACTGCTACTGGGAGAATGATGAGTTGAACAGAGGAGTTAGTAGCAGGGGTGGGGGGAAGGGTAACGATGGTTCCCACTGTGCTGTTGCTGATCTGCTCCTCGGCTATTTTCTCGATCATTTTGGTGTAGATATCCATTCTTGTCCTCCATATAAGCTCCTGTCCCACTAGTGTGTCTTTGTCAGTGGTGCTGCCACTGGTGCTGTTACTGCTGCTGCTGCTGCTGCTACTGTTACCGCTGCTGCTGGTGCTTTTGTCACTGCTACTACTACTGCTGCTACTGCCAGTGCTGCTGGTGCTGTTACTGTCGCTTCCAGTTAAATCCCCTCCTCCAATTCCGCCCGCCTTGAGTTGCCCTGCGCGCTTCACAATTTCCTCCCTCCTGCTGTCTATCTCCTGCTGACTGGCGACACTCGCAGTGCCACTGCTGCTGCTGCTGCTGCTGCTGCTGCTGCTGCTGCTGCTGCTGCTGTTGCTGCCACCGTTATTGGCACTTCCAGTTGAATCTCCCAGCCCAGTCACACCTGCCTGCTTTACGATTTCCTCCCTCCTGCTGTCTATCTCCTGCTGACTGGCAACACTCGCAGTGTCACCACCCATTATCATGTCACTTGTGCTGCTGGAGTCAGAACTCGTTATAAGGTCGTTAACATGGTGGTGGAAGGGGCGTGTGGCCAGATACACTGAACTTGAAACCTGTAAACCCGCACCTTCTTTTCCAAGCTCCCCCTGGTGACTGCCAGATTCAGTTCCCCTTAACGCCATGCCGTTGAAGTGCGGGTGGAAGGGGCGTGTGGCCAGATACGCTGAACTTGGAAACCTGTGCAGGTGAGGTAGTACTGGCTCCAGTTCAGTTTCCGAGCCTGAAGGTGCTACCGAACCTGGTGACACCACCGAGCTTACATGTTGGTTCGGTACGGGAGCACGTTGGCTTGATTCCGTGGCATGAGGCATGGTGTGTGGAGCAGTGCTGGTGTCGCTGCTGCTGCTGCTGCTGCTGCTGCTGCTGGCGGTGCTGCTGGTGGTGCTGCTGGTGAGGCCAGAGGCGGTTGAAGAATCAGAGACAGGCAGCAGCCAAGGAGGATAGGCGTGCATGACAACGCTTCTAACCCCTGCTCCTACCCCTTCTCCTGCTGCTCCTGCTCTCGCTCCTGCCACCGTTCCTGCTTTGGATACTGCTCCTGGTTTAAACACTGCTCCTGCAAAACCCAGCCGGTGCACTCTAAGGGGCCCTGAGGGTGGGTGGTGACGAAGTGGGCGATGCGTGTGGTAAGAGTGAGTGAGGGAGTGAGTGCGGGAGTCAGTGAGGGACTGAGTGAGGGAGTGAGTGCGGGAGTCAGTGAGGGACTGAGTGAGGGAGTGAGTGGGGGAGTGAGTGAGGGAGTGAGCGGGGGAGTGAGTGGGTGATTCCGCGTGTGTTACAGGGGAAGTGGGTAACGAACTGAGTAAGGGGAGGAGGAACGGTAGGAGATTGGTAATCCTAAGGAAGAATAGGCTTTTCCCATATGCAGAGAGGGGTCTTCCTTTCTTCCCTGCCTTCTTGCCCCTGCCGCTTGTGCTCCTGTCGCTTGGATAATTACCCTCCTGGTTACCTCTCGAGTTACCCCTATGGTTACCAGGTAACCCTCTTCTTCTGAGGCCGCTACAATTGGGATGCCATGAGCTTGTATCAACCCCTTTCCCATTACTGTTGCTACAGCTGCTCCTGCAGCCACTGCTACAGCCACTGCTGCCCCCGCTGCTACAGCCGCTGCCCCTGCTACAGCCGCCGCTGCCACTCCTCCAGTGGTTACCCGTCTGTACACCTCGTAACACTCTGCTCGTGCGACAACTGCTACAGCCGCTGGTACAGCCACCATTGCCACCCATCTGTATACCTCGTACCTCTCTTTTCCTGCGACAACTGTGATGACACGATTCGGCTGTACTGTTATGGTTGCTGAGGCGGCTGTTGCTGTAACTGCTGCCGTTAGAGCTGCAGTTACCATTGCCGTTACAACTGTTACTGGTGGGACTGGATCTGTAACTGAAGCTGCAACGACAGCTAGAATGCCCCACGCTACAGCCGCCGCTGCATTCTGTGACGTCACTGCTACAGCTGCCACTGCTACAACCGCAACTGCTACCATTACACCAGCTGCAAATCCCCATGCTACAGCCGCTATTGTCACTACTCGAGTGCGAGCTACAGTTTAACGAAAGTTCCCCATTAAGGCTATTCGCCTGCGAGCTACAGTATCTACAGTATCTTACTGTTGTTGAGCTACAGTACCCACAGTTACACCGTCCATTGCAACATGTAAGGCGTCTCACTTCTTCATGTGCTAATACTACCGAATCACTATCTCGTTCTATGCAACGACGCGGGTGTTCTAATAACGAGCTGTTTTCGTGCTGCTCCCCTCCATTACCGTCCAGCATATAATTTTCTTCTCCTCCTATTTCCTTCGTTGCAACTTCCCCCTGCCCGCCCCCTTTCCGCCTACTCATTCCGCTAAGCCAACCCCGCACGAAATCTCCGCCACCTTCCGCCAGTACGGTTGCACCCGCTAAAGGCCCCGTGCCTTCCGCCGATGCGCTTCCCGCTTGCGCTGCCCTCGCAGTCCGACGAACCGCCGCCGAGGACAGCAGTGACGCGGCGTCTGATCGAACGACACCCACGTGGCCACCACACGGCACGTCTGGTCGAACGTCCACGTGCCTCCCATACGCCACGTGTTCTCGTGAATCCACGTGGTTTCTAGAAGCGGCATGGGTGGTCATCCTTCGTTGCAGCTCCAACACTAAAAACGATTCTGCTCCTCTCGAATCTTCCGCCGGCGTTAGCTCCGATATAGAGGCGTCCGGTTGTAACTCCCTAAGCTCACCCTCTCCTGCTTCTATCTGCCACTTTATTCCCCACCTAGGCGTGCTCGACGTCATCCCCCTTAGAGTCTCGTTTGAGTTCCACATTACGGGACTTTTTCTTCTGCCGGTGTAGTTTCCGTCGGCTATTCTCTTCTGACATTCCTATTCGAGGTCAACTAAAAACTACTTCTGCTACTAACGAGGTACAGGTTTAGGCTGGATATCCTTACTGGATGTTTCATAGTTAGAAATGTATGTACCCCAACTATCGGCGACGTGTCTACGTTTCCGTCCTCTGCTTGTCTGTCGTCGACTTCGGTATTCAAATGAAAACAAGCTAACTGGAAAATACTCTCACTATTGTCAACGCCAAGCTACTACTGTCTCGGGTGACTAGTAACGAGTCGCAGCGAAGCTATGAGCGAGTCGTCATAGGAGGAAGAAACGGCAAGGCTGGGCATGCCGAAAGCGGCCCGAGTAAGGCTGCGCTAGAGCTCGAGGGAGCCGCGAAAGAGAGAAGGATAGGTAGTAGCGACTCGATTTGCGGATAGAGATGCCACACACACACTATGCAGATGCTTGCTAACGAAGCAGGAAAATGTCGACGCTTGGGTCTGAAGCTGAGAGAGAGTGTGCTATAGAGAGGCAGGGCGACTCGAAGTGCGGATAGGGATTTCACAAACAAACAGATGCTTGCTAGCCAAGCCGGAAAATGTCGACGCTTGGGTCTGAAAACTGAGAGTGTTTTAGAGAGAGGCTGGGCGAGTAGGAGCTGGTGGGTTCGGGTGAAGTTCCGTGGTGAGGGGTTCCGTAGATGGGATGGGAATGGAACGAAGCAGGGAAGGGAAAAGCTGGACAGAAAAAAGGCGCGAAGCTTGACGGGGAGGTATGCAAGTGGGAGTAAGGGAAAGAGCGAGAGGCCGAGGGAAACGAGGAGCAAGCAAGTGGGGAGGAGGGAGGAGCAGAAAGAGAGTTGAAAGGAAATGAACGGGAAGGCTGGCCAGTTCAGGATAGTTTCAGGTGGAGATGTTGCGGTGATGTTTTGACTGGGAACAAGAGGGGAGTAAAGAGGTTTTCAGAACAGAAGTAAAGAATTTGACATGGTTTAAGTTTGGTTGGGACGGATTCGAGCTGGTGAACTCTGGGGTAAGAAGAGGGTATTCTTGTCCGCACCGCTTTAGCCGTTGCTATGGCGGGAGAGTTGGGGTTGAACTGAAGAGTAGCGATCCGTATACAGAGAACCTGAACGAGCCGAACCAAAATCACTCTTTCGGCTAAACATCTCCATTCATGACAATCATCCCACTACAACTACTTGAAATACTGTAGGCGTATGAAAGTTTGGAACAATATTAGGAGTTTCAGCTGAGTAAGAACGCGCATTGAAGCTCAGAACAGCCTTGAGGGGAGGAATCAACCAATCAATATCGTCAGAACGGTCGCGACGGCGGGGATCGGTGGCGGCTCCAGAACGTGCTCCCAGCTGGTTGGCCCCTGGCGACAGTCATATTGAATGCGAGCCTAGCGAAAGCCTGGCGAAAGCATAGGCTGATGTGGCGGGTCGAACACAATGTTTATACAATCACAGATATGTTGAATTCATAAAAGAACGAGACCAAAATATTTAAACGAAGAACTTTGTAAACCAGCTCTGTTTGATATCAATGAGCAGTATCTCACTTCGGCAATTTCAAGGGTCAGATTCTGCAATGGTGAACATCCACGGTGGGTGGGAGCGATGTTAAAATGCCTTCCGAATATGTGTTCGTCGTCGCGTTTGGATGAACACTGGACCTCCAGATCCCTCCGTGTAACTCTTTGCCTAGTCGCTCAATACCTAATTTCTAGTCTGCGGCTGCGCCCGCGCGTGCCTAATCGGGTCTATGGAGTCTGAACACGAACCTATGCCGGAGGCCGCAAAGGAGATTCCGGCAAAAGTAGCAGGAGCAACAGAAGCAAGGGAAACATCGACATCCAATTCGCAGTTAGTTGAAATGTCAGCGCCAGGAGCGGCAGGAAACGCGTTACAGACGGTAACCGACGGTACCTCTCCTGTTTCTGACGGAAATCAAACAATAAAAACGGAATATGCTTCTGCCAGTGGAAATCAGCCTTCGGCTTCTGAGTTAACTCAAAGGTCACCTCCGAAAATAAACTTCGTGCGTGGTTTGTCCCCGGCGGCTTTTCACCCAACTGAAGGGTCACCGTTAAAATCTGGAGTCGTGGGTGGGCTGACATCAGGGGAGAAAACAGACTTCTGTACACTTCCGCCGTCGCACACACCCGAACCTGATCGCGAAACCCTAGCGGAGGCTCGGGAGGCTCCGGACCTGAGGTTCGGGAGTAAGGGTCGGCGGTGTGGGTTGAGGAGGGCGAGCAGTGGACGATCTGGTGGCGATCTTTCTAAAGCGGCTACAGTTGCTACAGTCGCTAGTGCTGACGTGGATGGAAGAACCTGTACGGAGCATAATGGCGGGACTGAGGAGAAGAGTAAGGAGGAAGAGGAGGAAGGGGAGCAGGAAGAGGAGGAAAGGGAGGAGCTTAATGCGGGAATACGGGGAAAAGAGGAGAAGGAGGAGGAAGAGAAGAGGGAGGAGGAAGAGAAGAGGGAGGAGGAAGAGAAGAGGGAGGAGGAGGAGGAGAAGGACAGGGAGGAGGAGAGGAAGGAAGAAAAGGAGGAGGAAAGAAGGGATGGTGCAATGAAGGGTGCAGAGAATCGTGCAATAAAGGGTACAGTGGTCGCTGTTACAGGTGTGAGTGGGAATGCTACTGCCACAGCATTGGTCGACTTGGCAACTGCCGCAAGGTGCAGAGGCATGGGCGTGAGTGCAAGTGCGAGTGTGAGTGTGTGTGCGACAGTGAGTGTGAGTGATGGGAGGAAGGCGAGGGGTGTGAGTGATGGAGGAGGAGATGATGCGAGGTGCAGAGGCATGGGTGTGAGTGTGAGTGCGACAGTGAGTGCGAGTGGTGGGAGGAATAGAAGGGATGAGGGAGGGGAGGAAGCAGTTGAAGGGGCGGAGGAGGCAGTGGTGGAGAAAGCAACAAGCGAGGGGGGAGGAGCAGGAGCAAGTGGGGAAGCAGGAGAAGGGGAAAAGGTAGCAGAGGAGGGGAAAGAAACAAGCGAGGGGGGAGGAGAAGGAGCAGGGGGGAGCGCTGCTGAAAGGGGAGACTTGGCGGAGGAGAGAAAGGGAGTGGGGGAGGAGCAGGGGGGAGCAGGTGGAGGGGGGAGACTGGACGAATCAGAGGAAGAGGGAACAGGAAAGGAGGAAGTGCGGGCTGTTGCAGGGGAGGAGGGTGCGAAAAAGGAGAGAAAAGGAGGAGGCGCGGAGCAGGGGGGAGGAGGCGCGGAGCAGGGGGGAGCAGGCGGAGGGGGAGCAGAAGAGGAGGAAGTGCGGGCAGTTGCGGGGGAGGAGGGTGCTGAGGAAAGGATCGAAAGAACTAGGGGGGAAGAAGTGGAAGCAGAGGAGGAGGAAGTGCGGAGAAGAGAGAGACGAGGAGGAGAGGGAGCAGCAGAGGAGGAGGAAGTGCGGGCAGTGGCGGGGCAGGAGGGTGCAGAGAAAAGGAAAGAAAATGCTGGGGGGAAAGAAAAGGAAGCAGATGGAGGAGGAGAGGGAGCAGAGGAAGGAGGAGAGGGAACAGAGGGAGGAGCAGATAGAACAGAGGGAGGAGCAGATAGAACAGAGGGAGGAGCAGATGAAACAGAGGGAGGAGCAGATAGAACAGAGGGAGGAGCAGAGGAAGCAGAGGAAGGAGGGGAGGGAACAGAGGGAATGGAACAAGGAGTTGGGGAAGGAGAGAGGGAAGGAGGGGAAGCGGAGGCAGGCGAGGGGGGCGGAGGGGTAGGAGAGGCAGGAGAGGGGGGAGGAGGAGGAGCAGAGGAAGGAAGGAGAACTAGACCGCAAAGGCAGAAGAGGACGAGGGGGCTAGGGGGAGATGATGATGGTGATGGAGGATTAGAGGGGGGAGAAGGAGCAGAGGGAGGAGAGGGAGCAGCGGAAGGAGCAGCGGAAGGAGCAGAGGGAGGAGAGGGAGCAGCGGAAGGAGCAGCAGAAGGAGCAGAGGGAGGAAAGGGAGCAGCAGAAGGAGCAGCGGAAGGAGCAGAGGGAGGAGAGGGAGCAGCGGAAGGAGCAGCGGAAGGAGCAGAGGGAGGAGAGGGAGCAGCGGAAGGAGCAGCGGAAGGAGCAGAGGGAGGAGAGGGAGCAGCGGAAGGAGCAGCGGAAGGAGCAGAGGGAGGAGAGGGAGCAGCGGAAGGAGCAGCGGAAGGAGCAGAGGGAGGAGAGGGAGCAGCGGAAGGAGCAGCGGAAGGAGCAGAGGGAGGTGAGGGAGCAGCGGAAGGAGCAGCAGAAGGAAGGAGAACCCGACCACAGAGGCAGAAGAGGAAAAGGGGGCTAGGGGGAGATGATGATTCGTACGTGTGGGGGTTTGTGGGGCGCGGGTGGCGCAGCGCTGCTAGTAAGTCCGCTGGGGGAAAGGATGGGGGGAAGGAAGGGGGGAAGGATGGGGGAAAGGATGGGCGGAAGGATGGGGGGAAGGCGGGGAAGGGAAGGGGAGGAGGTGAGGAGGGAGGGAAAAGAGGGAGAGGAGGGGAGGAAGGGGAAGGGAGGAGGGTGGGGAAGAGAATGAGGGGTGGAAGGACTGGGGTAGTGGGCAAAGCTTCTGGCGCCGCTGCTGCGGGTGCCACTGCTGCTGGTGCTGCTGGTGTTGTGGGTGGTTCTTCTAATGTCATTGGTATCGCTGCTGTTGCTGCTGCTAGTGCCGCTGCTGGCAGTGCTGCTGGTAGTGCTGATAGTGGTAGTTTGCATGGAAGGGTGGGCCATTTGGGCCAAGTGTCAGGTTTATTCAGATTCAGCCAAGAGCCACAGCAGCAGCAGCAGCAGCAGCAGCAAGCAGGCAGGGCAATAGGAGGTTTCCGCTTCCCTCTGCTCTCTCTCCCGCTCTCCACCCAACTCCACCCACTTCCACCCATCTCCACCGCTTTTCGGCCGCCTCTTCTTTCTTCCCTCTCTCCCACGCCCCCTCTCAACATCCCGTCCTCTCTCCCTCCCCCTCGACCTGCAACCCACCCTCCCCTGCTCCCCTCTGCTCATCAAACCTCTGAACCATTTCATACCCCTCAAAACCCTCTCATGGCTGCCGCAACCCACCCTACTGCGCTTCCTGCTGCACCTCCTCCTCTCCCCGTCTGCAATGGGTTTCAGCACGGAAATGCAGCTGCTGCTGCTGCTGGCGCTGCTGCTGCTGTGGCGGCTCCTCTCGCTGCTGCTGGCACTTCTGCTGCCACTGCTACCTTTCCTCCTCCTCGTCCTCCTCCTGGTGCTGCCACCGCTGCTGTTGCTGGCAGTTGTGTTGCAGCTCTCGCCACTGCTGTTTCACCTGCCACTGTTGCTTCACCTGAGCTTTCACCTGAAACGCTGCTGGTGGTATCTGAAATGAAGACAGCCAGGTTACTTCTACTGGTGAGCTATGCACACATGGCATAAGTCAGATGTCACATGGCACATAAGGCATGTCACATGGCACATCTCGGATGTCGCATGGCACATGGGGCATGGCACATAAGGCATGTCACATGGCACATGTCGCATGGCACATAAGGCATGTCGCATGGCACATGGGGCATGGCACATAAGGCGTGTCAGTCAGATGTCACATGGCACATGTCAGATGTCCCATGTCTCATGTCTCATGTCTCATGGCACATGGCACATGGCACATGGCACATGGCACATGGCACATGACGCATGGCACATGGCGCATGGCACATGGTACATGGCACATGGCACATGGCACATGGCACATGGCGCATGGCACATGTCAGATGTCTCATGGCGCATGGCACATGGCACACGGCGTATGGCGCATGACATTTCGCATTCAGTTCAGTGGGTGTTCAGTGGGTATTTATGATTTGTAATAATCTGTATAATCAATCATTGATTGCATTACTATAGTCGTCGGCTGGTTCCCTTACTTCCTCTCACTTCCCCATGCGCTCGGGGTGTGTTTTGAGGCGCCTCAAAGCATTCCTCTCACTTCCCCATGCGCTCGGGGTGTGTTTTGAGGCGCCTCAAAACATTCCTCCCACTTCCCCATGCGCTCGGGGTCCTTCTGATGCTGCCACTATTGCCCGTGGCCTGCTGACTCTGGTGCAATTCGAGGTGAGAGCGTGAGAGGGAATGATTGTCCCTTTCTCATCTGCCCGACCCCTCACCCCCTCTCTCTCCCCCATGCGCTCAGGGACCCTCTGATGCCGTCACTATTGCCCGTGGCCTGCTGTCTCTGGTGCAGTTCGAGGTGAGAGAGTGGCATTGTTGTCTGCGGCAAGTTCGAGGTGAGAGAGTGGCATTGTTGTCTGCGGCAAGTTCGAGGTGAGAGAGTGGCATTGTTGTCTGCGGCAAGTTCGAGGTGAGAGAGTGGCATTGTTGTCTGCGGCAAGTTCGAGGTGAGAGAGTGGCATTGTTGTCTGCGGCAAGTTCGAGGTGAGAGAGTGGCATTGTTGTCTGCGGCAAGTTCGAGGTGAGAGAGTGGCATTGTTGTCTGCGGCAAGTTCGAGGTGAGAGAGTGGCATTGTTGTCTGCGGCAAGTTCGAGGTGAGAGAGTGGCATTGTTGTCTGCGGCAAGTTCGAGGTGAGAGAGTGGCATTGTTGTCTGCGGCAAGTTCGAGGTGAGAGAGTGGCATTGTTGTCTGCGGCAAGTTCGAGGTGAGAGAGTGGCATTGTTGTCTGCGGCAAGTTCGAGGTGAGAGAGTGGCATTGTTGTCTGCGGCAAGTTCGAGGTGAGAGAGTGGCATTGTTGTCTGCGGCAAGTTCGAGGTGAGAGAGTGGCATTGTTGTCTGCGGCAAGTTCGAGGTGAGAGAGTGGCATTGTTGTCTGCGGCAAGTTCGAGGTGAGAGAGTGGCATTGTTGTCTGCGGCAAGTTCGAGGTGAGAGAGTGGCATTGTTGTCTGCGGCAAGTTCGAGGTGAGAGAGTGGCATTGTTGTCTGCGGCAAGCGCATGTATGTCACTGTTAGTCTGTCTGTAGCACACCTTAGTACGGACGGATGGGACGAGGTGACTTTTGAGTCGACTCAAAAGCAAGCGCATGTATGTCACTTTTGGTCTGTCTGTAGCACACCTTAGTACGGATGGGACTAAGGTGAGACGGGACAGATGTGAGACATAGTAGCCCTAGCGAAGGAAGTTTTGTGTATTTCGAAGAACCCTCGTGTTTTTCATCACGTGAAATTAGAGTGTTTTTAAGATGTCTCAAAGACATAGTAGCCCGAGCAAAGGAATTTTTATGTTTTTCAAGAAACCCACACGATTTTCATCCGGCATTGTGCTTTCTATCGCGCCCATCGGTCCTTTCCCTCATTCCCCCTGTCCCACTCCCAGGTTCGAGGCCTGCGAATCGTGCACAAGCTCGGGTGAGTTTGTTCAGTGCTGTGCGGTGCTGTGCTCTGTGGGAGTGGGATTGTGGTGCCTTGCTGTTCTGTAGGTGGTAGGTGCTCTCGATACGGCGGTGACGTGCGGTGCTTATTCTGTAGGTGGTAGGTGGTAGATGCTTATCACTGTACAATCTGAAGAGAGGCGTCGGGGAGAGCAGACAGCTTCGGCCTGGTTAGCATTTGCTTATTCTGTAGGTGGTAGGTGGTAGATGCTTATTTCAGTACAATCTGCTCCTTGTAATGCTTTGTAATGCTCCTCCTCCTTCCTCCCTCCCTCCCCCCCTTCCCTCCCTCCCTCCCTCCCTCCTTCCCTCCCTCACTCCCTCCCTCCCTCCCTCCCTCCCTCCCTCCCTCCCTCCCTCCCTCCCTCCCTCCCAACCTCCCCCTTCCCTCCCTCCCTCCCTCCCTCCCTCCCTCCCTCCCTCCCTCCCTCCCTCCCTCCCTCCCTCCCTCCCTCCCTCCCTCCCTCCCTCCCTCCCTCCCTCCATCCCTCCCTCCCTCCCTCCCTCCCTCCCTCCCTCCCTCCATCCCTCCATCCCTCCCTCCCTCCCTCCCTCCATCCCTCCCTCCCTGCCTGCCTTCTTGCATCGCTGGCTCTACCCTTCCCCAGGTCCCCCCTCCCACATGCCATGCACCTTTCTGCCAGCTTATCAAACAACGGGCTCCTACTGCTCTGACGTCTTCCCCTCACCTCCTCCTTGCATCCCTGGTTCCACCCCCCAACCCCCACTTTCCCAGGTCCCCCCTCCCCCAGGCCATGCACCCGCCAGCCTATCAGAGTGCAGGCTCCATCCGCTGTGACGTCTGCACCACCTCATGCACTCGTCTACCCCTTACTGTCATCGGCCCAACAGACATCCTCCAGTCAGACGTGGTGAGCTGGGGAGGGGTCTTGTGGTGTAACATCTGCACCGCACTGCACCTTGCATAACGCAGCAGGTTATCCGCTGTGACGCCTGCACTGCACCACCTCATGCGCTCGCTCGCCTGCCTTTAACTGTCATCGGCCCGACTGACATCCTCCAGTCAGACGTGGTGAGCTGGGGGCCCCAACTCTCACGTAGTGTAACATCTGCACCGCACTCCACCTTGCACAACACAGAAGGCATCCGCTATGATGTCACCTCATGCGCCCGTCTACCCCTCACTGTCATCGGCCCGACTGACATTTTCCTCTCAGACGTGGTGAGCTGGGGGTGTCATGTATGTAGCTTTTGCACCGCACTCCACCTTGCAGAACACAGCAGGCTCTGTCGGTTGTGATGTCTGCACCACCTCATGTGCTGCACCTGCTGCACCTCTGCTCCCCACCTCCTCCTGCTGCCACGCTCCCTGTTCCCTTCCTTTCCTCCTGCCCCACGCTTCTTTTCCCCCATTTCTCCATTTTCCCCCTCAGCCCCTTGTGAAGGCCTTGCAACTGCACCTGCTGCACCTCTGCTCCCCACCTGCTGCTGACACCCTTCCAGCAGCAGCAACCCCGCTTCTCCCATCTCCCCGCGCCTCTTGTGCTCTGCTCTGCTCCCCACCTGCTGCTGACACCCTTCCAGCAGCAGCAACCCCGCTTCTCCCATCTCCCCACTCCTCTTGTGCTCTGCTCTGCTCCCCAACTGCTGCTGACACCCTTCCAGCAGCAGCAACCCCGCTTCTCCCATCTCCCTGCTCTGCTCCCATTTCTCCTTTTCTCCCCTCCTGGCCTCTTGTGAAGGCCCTGCGCCTGCACCTGTTGCACCTCTGCTTCCCACCTCCCAACTCTCACTCCCTTTTCCCTTGCTTTCCCCCATTCTCTCCCATTTCCCTCCCCTTCCTCCCCCCATTCCCCTATCAGCCGCTTGTGAAGGCCTTACGACTGCACCTGCTCCACCTCTGCTCCCCACCTCCTGCTAACACCCCCCCCCCCCCCCCCCCTCGCTTCTTTTCCCCTCATCCCTCCGTTTCCTCCCTTTCAGCCACTTGTGAAGGCCCTGCGACTGCACCTGCTGCACCTCTGCTCCCCACCTCCGGCTGTCACCCTCTCAGCACCGCCATCGGCAGCAGCAGCACCTGTAGCGGCAGCAGCAACATTGACAGCAGCAGCTGTAGCAGCACCATCAGCGGCAGCAGCTGTAGCAGCACCATCAGCAGCAGCACCTGTATCAACAGCAGCACCATCAGCAGCAGCACCTGTATCAACAGCAGCACCATCAGCAGCAGCACCTGTATCAACAGCAGCACCATCAGCAGCAGCACCTGTATCAACAGCAGCACCATCAGCAGCAGCACCTGTATCAACAGCACCACCATCAGGAGCAGCACCTGTATCAACAGCAGCACCATCAGCAGCAGCACCTGTAGCAGCAGTAGAGATTCCTGCAGCAGAGGAGCCTGTAGCGGAACCACTTGCTTTGAATCCCACAGCTTCTGTTCCTCCCTTAACAGACAGTCTGATGAACGGGCAGATCAACAGGCAGACGAGCGGGCAGATGAACGGGCAGATCACGTACAGGAGCAGCAACAGCAGCAGCAGCGTCTGTCACATAAGCAGCATATGTGTTAGAACAATCCCAGACGAACCTTTTCAAGTTCGCGCCTCCCTGCGTTCCGCTATTCTCGAGAGGACCGCACAGCCCTTGCTTGCTTCACGTGGCAGTGAGGGGGAAAGGGCATCTGAGGCGCCTCATAACGTCCGCGCCTCCCTGCATTCCGCTGTTCTCGAGAGGACCGCACAGCTCTTGCCTAGCTTATCCATTAGGGAAGATGATGAGAGCAAGGGGATTTGCAAGGGAATGGAGGAAGACAGAGCAAGAGAACCATGTCGCGAGGGGGGTACACGTGGCAGTGAGGAGGAGAGAGGGGATCCACGTGGCGGGTTGACGCAGTGCCAGGTGTCAATGCCAGCATGGATGTACCATGTGAGTATGCCACATGTGCATGCTCTGAGCTTGTTCTTTCTATTGTTACCCGCACTCACACCGACGCTCCCCTCCCCCTCCCACCGCACCGCACCGCACCGCACAGCCTGCTGAGGCTCAGCATCGTGGGGTTGGTGAGTCGGCCACACAACCATATCCCCTTAACCGCCAACCCTCCCTCCCCTTCCCTCCCTCCCGCCTCTTTACAACAAGTCATCTCCAGCCGGCATCGACGCCAACGCTCCCCTCCCCCTCCGACCGCACCGCCTGCTGAGGCTCAGCATTGTGGGGGTGGTGGTGAGTCTCAGGGAGCTTTTGAGACTTCTCTAAAACTCCCTGCAGGCTCCGCATCGAGGGGGTGGTGAGTCGGGCCGGCCACACAGCCAGAACGCCTTGACCTCCAACCCCCCCTCCCCTCCCAACTCTCCACAACCAAGGTTCAAAAATACGGTCGTCTTTTTGTAATGTTACCGTAAATTACGGTATCCTGTAATAGGCTCCTGTGAGAAATCGTAGAGCGATTTCAAAAATACAGTCGTATTTTTGAACCATGTCCACAACAGATCACTCGCCAGCCGGCCTTGACTCCCACGCTCCTCTCCCCCTCGCACCGCCTGCTGAGGCTTGGCATTGTGGGGGTGGATGGATTTTCGGTGCATGCGGCTTCAATAACACCCCCCCTTTCCCTTCCCTCTCCACAACAGGTCATTCGCCAGCTGGCATTGACGCCCACCCTCCCCTCCCCCTCACACCGGCTGCTGAGGCTGGGCATTGTGGGGGTGGATGGGTTTTTGGTGCATGCGGCTTCGATTGCAGGATTGGCACCTGCTATAGCAGCAACTGGTGTGGTAGCAATAGCAGCACCAGCAGCAGCGCCGCCAGCAGCAGCGCCGCCAGCAGCAGCAGCAACAGCAGCAGCGCCGCCAGCAGCAGCAGCACCAGCAGTGGCTGTGGCAGAAATGGCAGATGCTGCAGAAGCAGAAACCGTTGTTTTGTCACTGGGGGATGTGGCAGGAGTGGCAGATGCTACAGCAGCAACGACTGCACTAGTACCGACAGCAGCACCAGCTGTAGTAGATGCAGCAGGAATGGCAGACGCTGCTGCAACAACGGCAACAACGGTACTAGCAGCAGCGGCACCAGCAGTAGCCATTGCAGGAAACTCAGTTGCTACAGCAGCAGAATCTGTGGTTTTGTCGCCGGGAGCTGTGGCAGGTACGACAGATGCTGCTGCAGCAACGACAGCACTAGTACCGACGGCAGCACCAGCTGTACCAACAGCATCAGCACCACCACCAGCAGCAGAAGCAGCAACAGCAATAGTAGCAGCAGAAACAGCAGCAACCGCAGCACCAGCAGCAGCGCTGCCAGCAACAGCATTCCCACCAGAAGAAACGGCAGGAAAACCAGCAGCAGCACCAGCAGAAACAGCGGCAGCAGCACCACCAGAAGCACCATCAGAAACACCACCAGAAACGCCAGCAGCAGCATCAGCAGAAAAACCTGCAGCAACACCATCAGAAACACCAGCAGACGAACCAGCAGCAGCACCAGCAGAAAAACCAGTAGTAACACCAGCAACACCACCAGCAGAAAAACCAGCAGCACCACCACCAGAAGCACCAGCAGCAGCACCATCAAAAACACCAGCAGTAGCAGCAGCACCAGCACCAGCACCAGCACCAGCAGAAACACCACCAGCAGCACCAGCAGAAACACCAGCGGTAGCACCAGCAGAAACACTAGTAGCAGCACCTTCAGAAACACCAGCAAAAGAACGAGCAGAAAAACCAGTAGCAGCACCAGCAGAAACACCAGCAGCAGCACCATCAGAAGCATCTGCGGCAGCACCTCCAGAAACACAAGCAGTAGCACCAGCAGAAACAGCAGCAGAAAAAACAGCAGCAGCATCAGCAGAATCACCCGCAGCAGCAGCAGCAGAAGCAGCAGAAAAGGCAGCAGCACCGCCAGCAATAGCAGCACCAGCAGCAGCACCCGCAGCAGCACCAGCAGAAGAAACAGCATTAACACCAGCACGTATGACAGTACGGAGTGCAGGTGCAGCCTTAGCAGATGCGACTGTTGCAGGTGTGACAGTACAGAGTGCAGATGCGACTTTAGCAGGTGTGATTGTACAGGGTGCAGGTATGGAGGAGCTGCAGTGGTGGCTGCGCTCTGTGCCGGCCACTCGCAGCGAGCGACTGGCCTTGGAGCAAAGGAGGAGCAGCCATACCACGGAATCTTTCAAGAAGGAGAATGGGGGGGCAGAGGACGAAGTGATGCTTCATGGGAAGGAGAATAAGAGGGCACAGCAGCAGGTGATGATATTTAGTGAAAGGGAGGTGAAGAGGCGGAGAGGATCGAAGGAGGTTGTGGGGAATGGGGAACTGGGATTGCAGGGGGGGGAGACGGCTGGTTGTGAGGAGGTTCAAAACGTTGGTTCAAGGTTTCAGGGAGAGGTGAAAGAGGTTCAAATGAAGCCTCTTTCAGACCTTAGACAGATGGTACTGTACCTAGACCCCAGGGACATGATGACTTCTGGTGTGATGGACCCACACTGTCTAAGTGACCTGGTTAAGAAGCACGCCCGTGCTGCCATGAGGCCAGTGCCCCGGTGCATGAGGCGACGAAGGAAGGTTGTGAAGAGAGAAGAGGGAGTAATGGAGGGAGTGGTGGATGGTTGATGGACAGAGGGGAAGCATGCCCATGCTGCCATGAGGCCATTGCCCCAGTGCATGAGGCGACGAAGGAAGGTTAGGAAGAGAGGAGAGGGAGATGCGGAGGGAGGCGAATGGCAAGACCAGTAGAATCGCAGGCGGTCGACACTGAACGCATGCTTCGATCAATGTGGTTTCCTTGTCCAGTTTCTTGACGACGCTCTTGGTTTTGAGAGATCTCTACTTGCAAGGGCTTCACTATTTGGTATTGTTGGGCTCGGTTGTTTTTTTCATATGCTGCTTTTTGCCACTGCCCCATAAATCATCCCACGGCGTCCCATTGACTAAGGGTACATTCCGCGCTTGACATGTCCCAATCGAAAGTGTCTCAATCGTTTCTACCGCACTGCATAGTATTACACCGAATTGCACCCTAGTTTCGAAATTTTTGCGTCTCTGGTTTAGTTTGGTTCGGAGCGGTACACTCGATTGGGACACATCGATTGGGACAGTGTCCACAGCGGAATGTACCCTTACTAATGTACTCGTTTGCACTCACATGCTCTCTTGTGCATTCCGTTCACTCCATAAGAAGGGTGATGAGATGCACGGACAAGGTGGGCTTAGTTACAGGCGCTTTTCGCGACACTCGCCCAGCTTCAGGTGGAATTTTGGGGCCGTTACACACCAGGCCCATGTGATCGCGATCAGGTTGTCATAGTAGCGAGGAAAGCACACGTGGCTTTGGTGGTATGGGCCGGGCCTCCTGAAGTGGCAGTGAGGAGAATGTCAGTACCGAACCGCGAAATCCTTTGTGGGAAGCTCGAGAAGGCGAGTTTGGTGGTAACTATGATCCACCTGTCTTGGATGCGCAGCGTTCAGGAATACCATTGTCATTGATCCTGTAGGGCTCCTGGTTGGTTGCATTAGGCGAAAGCGGACGTCTGTCGTCAGAAAGAGACGATTAGCGAAGAACTACGAGACTCGCAAGCGTGACGAGCTGCGCCCTTGTTGCCCATCTCGGTTTAGTGGGTCCAGGCTGTAAACCTCTTGCAAGGCTGCCACGTCAGCCCCACCATCGAATCTGCAACCATTTCAACCAACCAGTATTCGTCACCCCGCGTCGCACTCGATTCGTGCCCGAGAGTGGCGCAAGCTGCAAACCACTTGCACATCCTGCGCGCAACGGTCCAACCATGGCATGACATGACATGACATCCGCTTCTGGAACGGAGCGGAGCACCTGACCTGACCCGATGTCAAGTGTACGCGAGGCAGCTCAGGACGAGCATTGTATGTGAAACGCAGCTCGATCCATTTTGCGCAGACCACCCGCCCCTGCCCCCTGCAATTCCGCCGTTCCGAACGAGCGCATTCAGCGTGGTTGGCAGGGATTGCGTTGCATCCCACACCGACCTGCGCCCGTTCGGTTCCCCCCACCTTGGGACCTGTCATAGATTTCATCCCGTATCACCTCAAATTGCTGCGCATGTACATTACCGTTCTGGAAGCACCTTACATTCAGTAACACCTAGTATAAACCGCTAGAACCGAGATCGAACATCCAAGATGTAACGTTGAGCCAGGATGACATACAAAAGGATCATCCTACCTGGAAAACTATGCGGGGGCCACCATCCACCGACCAATCTCCAAGGTAGTTTTCACCTACCTCAGATGGAGTCTAGGGACTTCAGAAAAGAATAATCACCATTCTCGACCAATGCTGAGGAATAACCAGCACCAACCACCACCACCTTACAGTATTCAAAATCCATCTCTCTCGATCTCGTTTCGCGAGCTTGAATCAGGCCTTTTTTTTCCGCAGTGTCACTCCTCCTTCCTGCTGATCACAGGAGACAGACAGAAGTCCTCTCATGTCCGCATTGTTCGCCTAGCTTTCTCCTTTCCATCAGTCACAATACTTTCGCTAACTCTCTCGCTGGCACCGTGTTTCATCGCCGGGAGGTGACTAATGAGTTGACTTATTAACACAAGTGCTTCAGGTGTGTCTTCCCTTCACATTTCGCCAAGATCCTTTTTGTTTTAAAATGACAAAATAGATTTAAAAGTCGAAACGTGTCTCACGGCAATCCCTAAATTCCCCGTCGTTGACTTGTTCAGGCGCGTCAACAAGTCAACATTCTGTTTACGACAGTTTGCAGCAGCCTGCTTCGACCATCAGACACTCCTAAGGGCATCGCCGGTTCCTATTTTTTCCCACGCCGTCGGTTCCGCGTTCATGGAGAGCGCGTGTGTCAACAGATGGAGCGGGCACCCGTTATAAGTTACCAGCTAAATTGTTAAGAGACGCGTCGCGCCTAGGATCCATCGTCGTGGCTTTAATCGGCAGATTACCGTTCCCTTTCAGATCGTTTTTAGGCTCCTAAAGTAGATCCCTCAGCGCGCCGATACGGTCGACATTTGATAAGAGGAACAGACCAAACGAGGTTTCGAACGATCTATATTGAATTAGGTCACCATGCCGAGCGCCGCGGCGCCGTATCGGCGAATCGACGAGAAGGAAGATCCCGAGGCGCAGGTAGACTCAGAAGAGAGCAGCAAGGAGGAAGAACGGCCGTTAAATAGCACCGGCGGCGGCGGCGGCGGAGGTGGGGTTCCAAATTCCCCTAGCTCACCGTATAAACTCTCTTCCGCCTTACCCATCCCCACTTTAGGCCTCCCCGCTAGTAGCTCCTGGCCGCAACTATCCCCCGGCGCCACCACCGCTCTGATCGTGATCTCCTGGTACTGTAGCAACATCGGCGTGTTGCTTCTAAACAAGTTTCTTCTATCGAGTTACGGGTTCCGTTACCCGGTGTTTCTGACGCTCTGCCACATGTGCGCGTGTTGCACGATGAGTTACATCGCTATAGACCGCTTCGAGGTTGTTCCGATGCAGTTCATCTCGTCGCCACGTCAGATGCTCAAGATCGCCATGCTCTCCGCGATCTTCTGCTTCTCCGTCGTCTGCGGGAACATGTCACTACGATACATCCCCGTCTCTTTTAACCAGGTGAGCGATTCAACCAGGCAAACAGTTACAATCAGGTGAGCCGTTTCAACTAGCGAGCTGAAACTGGAGACTGCATCCTAGTTTCATTAAACCAGGTAAGAGTTTTTTGCAACATGCAGTGAAAGATTGGCAATAAGAGGACCCCACCTACTCCCGCAGAAAAATATCTACAACAAACAACAATGCGTGAAGAGAGCTTGAAGTTCTAAGGCCAGGTAACGCGTCGTAACATGCTTGTGCGCTTTCAGCATCCTTCCACTATTTCCGTTCTCCCTCTCCTTCCTGTCCCCTCTCCCTCCTGTCCTCTCTCCCTCCTGTCCCCTCTCCCTCCTGTCCCCTCTCCCTCCTGTCCCCTCTCCCTCCTGTCCCTTCTCCCTCCTGTCCCCCCTCCTGTCCCCTCCCCCCTCCTGTCCGCTCTCCCTCCTGTCCCCTCTCCCGTCCTACCCCCATCTCTTCCTCCCCCCGGCCCCCCTCCCCCCCTCCCCTTCTCGCTTTCCTAACCCATCCCTCCCCCCATTTTCATCGAGAAACAACAACACCTTCGTCCCAGTAGTATCTAGCATCATCATAAACAGCCTTGATATCTGAACCCTACCAAACCCTCTCCCCTGCCATCCCTCATCACCTATCTCCACCGCATTTGAATCGTTTACCACAACCCCACTCTCTCCCCTGACACCCCTCACCACCTACCCCCACCGCATTCAAGTCTCACACCACCAACCCCCACTCTTTCCTCTGCCAACCCCCACCACGTTCAAATCATCTCCCCCCTCTTTCCCCCCCCCCCCCCCCCCTTCCCTTCTTTTTCTCTACCTCCCCTTCCCCCGCCCTCGTTAATTGCACCCACAGCACGAGCGTTCGCCGCCTGCATAAGAACCCGTGCTGTAACCCCCCTCCTCTCACCTTCCCCTCCTTCCCTCCTCCCCTCATCCCCGCCGCCCCCACCTCCTTTCCCCTTCTCCGGGCAACCCCCCTCCCCCTCTCGCCTTCCCCTGCTTCCCTCCTCCCCTCATCCCCCGCCGCCCCCACCTCCTCCCCCTTTCTCCAGGCAATCGGTGTCATAACTGTCCAAACCGAAGCAGCGACCACCTATGGCAACCAAAGCACAACACTTCTCCTGGGCGACTTTTGAGTCGACTCAAAAGTCAAACCGAAGCAGCGACCACCTATGGCAACCAAATCACAACACTTACCCTGTCCCTCTCCCGTGTTCCCCTCCCTTCCCCTTTCTCCTGGCACCCCGCCCTTCACTGCTGTATTTGTCGTCATCATCACCTTTCCAACCGAAGCAACCACCACCTACCCACCCATACCAAACCTCTTTCCCCTCCTCACCTCCCGTCTCCTCTTCTCCTGGCTGTTGGAGCCACAACCCCGGCCTTCACTGCCCTATTTGTCGTCATCATCACCTTTCCAACCGAAGCAGCCACCACCTACCTCAACCATTCCAAACCCCTTTACCCTCTTTCCCTCCCTCCCTCTCCCTCTTTCCAGGCGATTGGAGCCACAACTCCAGCCTTCACCGCCCTATTTGTTGTCATCATCACATCACCTTCCAAACGTATCCCACCACCACCTACCCACCCAAACCGAACCCTTTCCCCTCTTTCCCTCCTCCCCCTCCCTCTCCTCCAGGCAATCGGCGCCACGACTCCAGCCTTCACCGCCCTATTTGCTGTCATCATCACCTTCCGAACCGAAGCAGCCGCCACCTATCTCAACCATACCAAACCCCTTTCCCCTCTCTTTCCATCCTTCCTCCCTCCCCCTCCCTCTCCTCCAGGCAATCGGTGCCACAACTCCAGCCTTCACCGCTCTATCCGTTGTCATCTCACGCTAAACACAACAATGTCCCTGTACATCTGGTGTTCCCCCTCCCGTGCGCACTCTCCAGGCAATCGGAGCCACAACCCCGGCCTTCACGGCCCTATTCGTCGTCATCATCACCTTTCGCACCGAAGCAGCCACCACCTACCTCACACTCGTCCCTGTCGTCCTGGGAATAGTCATAGCCAGCAACTCGGAACCTTCCTTCCACCTTCTCGGCGTGATCATGTGCTTCGCGTCGACCGCTGCTCGCGCGCTGAAATCCGTTGTACAGGGGCTGCTTCTAACGAGTGATAATGAAAAGCTACACTCCATGAACCTGCTGCTGTATATGTCGCCGCTCGCGGTAGTGATGCTGCTTCCAGCGAGTCTGTTTATAGAGGGGAATGTGCTGGCGGTGGTGGTGACGAAAGCAAGGGAATCTCCTTGGATTCTGGTTTACCTGGTGGCGAATGCTGCATTCGCCTACTTCACGAATTTGACGAATTTTCTGGTTACCAAGCACACCAGCGCGCTTACCCTTCAGGTGAGAGGGCGAAGGGCAGTGGGAACTAGACAGGAGGGAGTAGGGGAATGTTGAATCCTGGTGGCGAATGCTGCATTCGCCTAATTCACGAATTTGACGAATTTTCTTGTTACCAAGCACACCAGCGCACTTACTCTTCAGGTGAGAGGGGGGAAGGGACGGTTAAAGTGGGATTCGTGACAACAAAGGGGGAGTTGTGACAAAGAAGGGGGGAATGACAATGAAAACATAATCAAACTTGTCAAGGGTTGAGGTTGGGATTTATTCTGGAAGGGAGGTTATATTTTATGCAAAAGGGGTTGGGGGTTTATTCAACAAGGAGGGGTGGGGTTTATGCAAATACAGGGTCTGGGGTTTCGGCAGAAGAAAGGGTGGTTTAGGGTGGACGAGTGGGGGATTGGGAGGGATAAGGGGTTCTTGGGCATTATGACATGGTGCAGTTTATGACTGTATGGCACAGGTTGTGACAGTATGGCACAGGTTGTGACAGTATGGCACAGGTTGTGACAGTATGGGACATTGTGTAAGGTGAAACAGCATGTGGCAGTGAGCATGACATTGTGTTCCAGTGTGTGACAGTTTGTGACAAGCGTATATGACATTGTATCTGACAGTATACGAGTGCATGACTGTATGTAACATTGGGGCTTTAATGTTGGGGGTGGGATGTCGGCGATGGGATGGGATGGGATAGGCCAGAGAAATTGCGTTATGAAATTTGGTTCTGGGGAACTTGTTTGGGGGTTTGGCTTGGGGAACTTGGTAGGGGGATTTGGCATGGGGAACCTGTGAGGGGGATTTGGCATGGGGAACCTGTGAGGGGGATTTGGCATGGGGAACCTGTGAGGGGGATTTGGCCTGGGGAATTTGAAAGGGATTTGGCCAGGGGAACTGGGGAAGCGTGATTTTCCTTGGGGAACTTGGGACGCTTATTTGTCATGGGGAACTGGGGGAGGGGTATTTGCCATGGGAAACTGGAGGAGGAGAATTCACCCTGGCAATACCCAGGTATTGGGAATTATTAAAGCTGCGGTCTACATACTAAGTGGTGTTTTTTGGGTGTATTTTTTATGCCAACCCTTTCGTGCGGCCTGATTGGAGAACGAAGTCAGCATGTTTCAGAAACACCGCAGCAGGCGAACTCAGACAGGAAACGCGAATCCAGCCCAATTTCGTGCTGACGGGTGGTTTGGAGGAGGGTCTGCGGAAGGGCGGGAAACAACCTTGGGAGTTCGGTTTTGTGCTGAAAGAACCCCAACCCCCTCTCTCCACCCCTCTCAACCGTTAACTTTGCAGGAAAAGGGGCCGAGTCCAAAAACTGGTCACCCTGTTTTCAAGTGATAATCTCAGCCCTCCCGCTCGGAGTATGTAGGCCGCAGCTTTAAGGGAGGGACTGCCACAAACAAAACAGTTTCTTCATCTGTAACATTGTTTTCAAGAGCATTATCAATGCTTGTCTTCACTCCCTCCCCTCTGTCTTCCCCGCAGGTCTTGGGTAACGCTAAAGGAGTGGTTGCGGCAATCATATCAGTCTTGGTGTTCCGTAACCGGGTAACGGTTATGGGCATGGTTGGATTCGGCATCACTATTTGTGGAGTAATACTCTATAGTGAAGCGAAGAAGCGGGCCAAACACTGACACAGGTGAGCTTACAGCACATTAAAAACATACCGGTATGGAGTGTAGCAATCTTACGCGCATGGTGGGATCTGGTCATTATTATTATATCACGTGTTTGTTCCCTCGTTTTTTAGCACCTAGCTCCCTTCGTTTTTTTTTTTTTTTTTTTTTTCGGGCGGACGACAGCCACAGCAGAAACCTTACATTTCTTGTCGTCCTATCCTCATTCTATCAATGTTATTTTGGAGTCAGGTTGTGAGCTGCATAAAGGTGGCCATCTAGAAGGACCAGCTTCAAATGGTGGTGCTCCGCCTTAGTCTCGAAAGTTCCTAGGCATAGTTGCTCCAAGTTTGTTTGGTACAGGCTCTGTGGCGAGCACCCGAGCTAAAGTAGTGTCACGTGTTAACTCTGCATTGTTTCTGCGATTCTTTTTTACTGAGCATTTTGCTGAATAGGAAGCGATGCAGAATGTAACATGTATAGCCATATTAGGATATTGATAGCAAGGGTTTTGCACTCTGGTCGCCCGGCGTAAACGCGTATGACAAATGCCTTACTGTAGACCTCCTTGACCAGCGGAAAGAAACAGTCAAATTATGTACACCGCTATTCCTTCTCTTGCGGAAACGTTATTTTCCAAAAGGCGGACCTCCGGCCCTAGGTTCTTCTGACCTCAACAATCCCGTCTAAAAGACGGCATATTATCATGCCACAGCATCATGTCCAGACATCGAGGACGTCCATACATCTGCTGTGTCTACCACCGTCCATTCGTTACTCGTGTTTCCATTGGTGAGAGCGAATTTAGTCACCAGTTATATGGCTGTGCGTTCGCAAACCCTGCTAGGAGATCAGGTATCTCCGTCTGTCTTGCCGTGGCGTGACGTTCACGAAATAAGTCGGTCTGTCGGAGGAAGTGCACAACTCGATTACCTGTTGACTGGCAACTCCCGGTCGGTAGCATCAGCCCCGTTATGCCGTAACGTATGGTAAGCAGCCTTCCGGCTGCACCATAGGCAGCGAAAACCGTATGTAAGGCTCTCAGCTCCCTTCTTAATTCATACCAGTCTCCTTAGCTTTGCAAATCAGTCTTCAGTCGCCAAGAATCGTTGAAAGACTTCTAGTACCGCATCAGGCTCGGAAAGTACTTTCATCAGCATCCATGGCGCCCGCTGACGTGTCTCCGCTGCTTAGGGCCAACAACTCGGTGCCTTCCGAAGCCTACTATGTCGGAGAAAAGGAACCGGAGAGCAAGGCTCCGATTCATGCGGCTCATGAAGCTGTCAATTCTGAGAAGATGACGATGTCGAAAGGCGCGGAGGCTTTCTCAGAGGGAGAAGCAGGTTACGATGATTTGGAGTCAACGAGGAAGTGGAGCACAGGCCTTTGCTCGTGCATTCCAGGATACAACAGCGAGCATGCTCGTTCGGATTGCGAAATCTGTGAGTGTTGGTGATTACTTCATTTTGATCCCGTGTTCTCGGTGTGACGTACTCCGAATATTCCGTTTCACTTATTCCACGCGGTTTCGCGGCGTGTGTCCCTCAGGCTGCCTGGGCTGGTTCGCGCCATGCGTTCTGTTCGGAAGCAACATGGTTCGCCTAAGTGGTAACCACAGCGAGTTCTGCAACAACTGTTGCTGTTACGCGTCCCTGCTTATCCTCGGGGGTGTCTTTCTCCGATGCAACGTGCTCGCGCCAATCAAGTCGTGGTCCAGCCGATCCGCCATTCGAACACAATTCGGCCTTCAGGTTCGTTTTGATTGAAACTGTCACAAGCTTTCAAACCACATCCGTGGTCTGCCCTCAATCTGTCATGCTGAAGTTGTATTACTGTCTAATCTAAAGCAGCGTTCTTACCCGTTTGTTGTTCTGCTTTGTGTGTGTTGCCTCTGCTGTGTGTGTGTGTTGCCTCGTATAACCAATCCAGAGCGGAGCTGAAAGAGTGACAAGCGACCCATCAGATGGTTGTGATCGGTGCTGTGACTGTTTTCTGCATTTCATCTGTCACCGATGTGCTCTATGCCAGGAGGCAAGGGAGATTAGAAGGCGGCTCCCTTTGTCAGGCCCTAATAGTTCTTCTGCGTCAGGAGTGGTTGTTGCTCCTCCCTCCGTGCAAGCCATGAATCACTGAGGATAATGCTGTGTTTTGTGTACCATCTGTATATTGCTATCAGCATTCCCTTGAATCTGCAAATGCTCTCAAAATTGCAACTGAACCCTTACGCTAACCTTATTACCGGTAATAAGTTTGCTGCACACAGAATGTGGAGGTTGGTTGACAATTGTGGTGCCATCCCAAAGTCTTCATAGTTCCTAGGCATGGTTGCTTTATTTGGTATGTGCTTTATGGTGAGCACGCAAGCTATGTAGCGTCATTCATTCACTCTTTGCATTGTTTCACCCCATGTGATTTTTTTTTCGTCTCAAGCATTGTTGTGCTGAATAGGAAGCGATGAAGAAATCCACAATGTATAGCCTTATCAGGATATTGACAGCAAAAGTTTTGCGCTCTGGATAACCGTACTCTTGGCGTGAACGCGCATGACGGAGACATCACTGTAGACCTCGACAAGCAGGAGAAAAAACAGTCTGTAAGGAATTTTCTCAGGCATTCCTTACGGAGCCGACTACATCGCGTACAGCAACAGCCGACTGTTCGCCCGTTACTGCTAACGGAACTTCGCCGACTTCGCGCGCACTGTTTTGCCAAACCTCGCACTGCTGGCATGGCCGTATCGGCCTACGCTTCGGGACTAGCCCGAGCCTCGCTCCAGCGTAGCACTAGCAAGTTCGCACGCACCGCGTTACCGTTTTGCATGTTTCGCGTATAAATGTTCGCTCATGCCTTCGCTCACATTTTGTACTCGTTTGACACCTTAGTGCAATTCTCGCTACCTCGATTCATTGCACCCGTAACACTTGGTTATCAGAGCCCCTTTCTTTCGGACCGCGCATCTCCGCACACCAGGAAATCAACTTTTGATTTTTCACTCGAAGGGACTCACGCACCTTAGCCCCTAGGAGCCGCTGTCCTCGCGTTCTCTCGTAAACGCGTGCAGCCACGACTGCGCCTAGACTAAGACGAGCCGACGCCCTTCGTCATGGCCGAAAACATCGACGTCGCCACTCTCACGCAGGAGCGTTTGAACGATCTGCTGCGACAACTGCACGAAAGCTCCGAGGAAATCGCGGCATTGACGGCAGAACGCTCATCACTGCAAAATGACCTCATGAGAGCACAATCCCAAGCACCTGGCACTCCGATTCAACCTGCACCCTCAACATCACAACACGGGAGTGTGGGGCAACCCGCGAGCGCGGCCAGCGATGGCGTCGTCCGCCCCGACGGAGACGACGACCACGGCACGACACACCCCAGAGCGACGCCTGCGGCCCCAAGTCAGCCTCGCGTCACGATTTCGGCACCAACCCACGATTCGGGACTGCCGTCACCGATGCCGCTGAAACCGCAGCGCCCGCCATGCTTTGACCCGAGTCAACGGGGTGGTCCTACCGTTCAGGCGTGGTTATTCACAATGAATGTTTTCTTCGACGCCAACTACGTCTCGGAGGACTCGGCGAAGATTCGATACGCCGTGTCGTTGCTGCGAGGACCCGCCATGGACTGGTGGCGCGTCATCGTCACGAAGCCGACCGACTACGCGACACTACCGACACGGGAAGGACAAACCGGACCCTGGGCGCCGTCGTATTTCGTGGAGGTGCCCCAGTATCGCACGTGGGACGCGTGGTGCGCAGGTCTGCGCGCTCGATTTGAGCCAATCGCGGCCTCGATCTCGGCGCGACAGAAGCTCCGCACTTGGCGCCAACTCGGTTCCGTCCAGGATTACACGAGCGGATTTCTGGCGCTATGCGAGCAGGTGGGCTACATGCACGAGAGCGAACGCATCGACCGCTACATCGGCGGCTTGAAGCAGGATATCGCTCAGGAAATCCAGCTTCGCGGCGTCACTGAGTTTCAGGAAATTCTCGCTATGGCGGAGAAGCTCGACTTCTTTCGCCGACCGAGACCGGGGTCCTACGGAAACAACACCTGGGGACATCGGCCTCGTGGGACGAACGAGAGCGCCACGATACGCGCCGTCGCCGCAAATGCCGCTGCCGCACCGTTCAAAGGGCGCTGCTTTGCGTGCAATCGGCCGGGACATCGCAAGAGCGAATGCCCGGAAAACGCTAAGGGAAAGGGGGAAGCTGAGCAGCAGACACAGACCAAGCAGCAGGGAAACGCTGGAAGTCAGTAGCAGACGGGCCCTCTACTGACAGGTCACGCCGCTCGCCCGACCCAACCGACCCTCACCGAGTGATTGTGCCGGTTCACGCAATCGACCACACCCGGCCGAATAAGGAGGGTACCACGGTAGATAGCCCTATACTGCTCAGTGGGAAAATTGGGACGGACTTAGTTAAAATCTTCGTAGACGGGGGAGCCAGCCACAGCCTCATTAACACTGCTACAGCACGAAAACTGCGACTGCCACTGGACCGATGCTTACCTGAGATCGACGCACGACTGGTAGACGGCACGCCGCTGGCAATACGGGAACGCGTAGACCGAGTTCGGATTCGATGCGGGGGTAACTTCACGTTTAGTCAGGGAATGCTCGCAACGACCCTCGACGGAACCGACATTTTACTCGGGCGTGATTGGCTGCGACGACACAACCCGCGAATTGACTGGACGACGGGTGACTGCACCGTGCGAGTGAACGGTAACAGCATCGCCTTACCTCGCTGGGGCTCGCCTGAGTCTTCGTCGGTGCGTGTCAACGCGATCACGATGAAACGCGCTGTTGCGGCCGGAGCCGACGTGTACGCGGTTGACATTCGGGAAGCCGAGGCAGCAGACAAGGGAGGCGATTTACAGAAACTGCTGACCGACGTACCGAGTGACCTGGCGGCACTGTTACAACAGTACAGTGACATTTTCCCGGATGACCTGCCGACGGGACTGCCACCTCAGCGACCGCACGATCACAGGATAGAACTGGAACCGGGGGCACAGCCAACAGTACAGCGACAGTTCCGACTGACCCAACCCGAATTAGACGAACTAAGGAAGCAGCTCGATTACCTGCTAGAAAAGGAATTCATTCGCCCTAGTTCGTCGCCTTTCGCCGCACCAATACTGTTCACACCGAAAAAGGACGGGGGTTTTCGCATGTGCATCGACTACAGGGCACTGAACAGGGTTACCATCAAATCCCGTTACCCCATCCCACGAGCCGACGAACTGATCGACCAACTGCGCACAGCCCGGGTTTTCTCGAAAATCGACCTCCGAGGAGGATACCACCAAATCCGCGTCAACCCACCCGACTGCCCTAAAACCGCATTCCGAACACGCTACGGATCCTTCGAATACACCGTCATGCCATTCGGACTGACCAACGCCCCCGCCACTTTCCAAATGACCATGAACGAAGCATTCCGCCCGCTTTTAGATAAGTGCGTCATCGTTTATCTGGACGACATACTGATTTACAGCCCTGACAGAGCACAGCACTTACAAGACATCGAAGCAGTTTTTAAAATCCTGAGTGAGAACCGCCTACTGACCAAAGCATCTAAGTGTGAGTTTTTACAGGACCGCCTGGAGTTTTTGGGACATGTTATTTCAGCTGCAGGAGTGGAAATAGACCCGAAGAAAATTGCGACGATTCAGGCTTGGCACGCGCCGACCAACTTGACCGAGTTGCAGAGTTTCCTGGGGTTCGTCAACTACGTGCGCCGGTTCGTCCCCGACATGGCGAAACTGACTGCCCCGTTGACTGACCTGCTGAGGAAGGGGGTTGAGTACACGTGGGGGGAGAAAGAGCAAGCTGCCTTCTCGGCCCTCAAAAATATTTTGTGCTCCCCGCCCGTCCTTCACATTGCAGATCCCCACCGTCCGTTCGAGCTCGTCACCGACGCAAGTGACATCGCTGTGGGAGCAGTACTGTTGCAGGATTTCGGGAATGGCCTCCAGCCAATCGCGTACGAGTCCCGCAAGTTACACCCGCCCGAACGTAACTACCCGATACACGACCGCGAGATGCTAGCGATCGTGCACGCGTTCAAAGTTTGGCGATGTTACCTGACTGGTGCCGACGTGACAGTACGGACAGACCACCGCTCGCTACAGTACCTTCGCGCCCAACCGAATCTCAACCCACGACAGATTCGCTGGTTGGACTATCTCGAGTCCAATTTTCACTACACCGTCACGTACAAAAAAGGAGCATCCAACATCGCCGACGCTCTCACCCGCCCCACCGCCCAACTCCACGCCATCCTACTCGCCCAGACCAACCCGCTTTTAACTGGCCTATTCACCCACGGATACCGCACCGACCCATTTTTCACGACCGGAAATTCACAGCAACTGGCAGAAGCAAAAGGAGTTTATTACGTAAAAACAGGCACCAACCGCATTTGGGTACCCGCGTACTCACTACTGAGGGAGCTGCTGCTGCAGGAGGCACACGACGGGATTACCTCCGGACATTTCGGGGTAGAAAAAACACGACAGCAACTGCAGCGGTACTATTACTGGCCGGAGCTGTTGACCGACGTACAGCAGCACGTGGGCTCGTGCCCGACGTGTCAGGTGATGAAGAGTTCAAGGAAGCGGAAGGCGGGTCAATTGCAGCCGATCCCACCGCCCGAACGCGCCTGGCAGCAAGTAACCATGGACTTCGTCACAGGGTTACCTTCGAACCCTGGGGGTAACGACGCGGTGATGGTCGTCGTGGATAGGTTGACGAAGATGGCACACTTCGCTGCGTGCAAAAAGTCGATCTCAGCCGAAGAGACCGCTCGCCTGTTCATCGCAGCCGTTGTTCGCCTGCACGGGATACCAGCAGCAATTATCAGCGACAGGGACACGAAGTTTACCAGCAACTTCTGGAAGAACCTCTGGGAGCAGTTCGGGACCAGGCTACAGTTCAGTTCGTCGTACCACCCCGAGACCGACGGCCAAACGGAGCGGACGAATCAGACGATGGAGCAGTTGATTCGTGCCACGTGCGACGACCCCACGACCTGGGAGCAGCAGCTGCCGCTGATCGAGTTCGCGTACAACAACGCCACATCAGCCACGACGCAGCAGTCCCCGTTCTACCTGAACTATGG